GAAAGATAGAAAAACTATTTTGACAAATATTAAATAAAGAACATGTAATGGGTGCTAATGGAGGAGAGATTAGTAACAATAGTACTAAAAATAACATTGGATGTGATAGCATTATTATATTAGTGTGGATAAGAGCATTGTAAAGTAAGATAATGAAAAAAAAGAAGACGTTTAATGAAATAGTGAAAGAGCATTATTGTGCCTATATTTAAAACAAAGGCAATATACAAAGTTGTATTGTGGGACTAAACTCATGAGCCACACTGTCAAACTTTAGGAGAGAATAATTAAGCAAAGGTTGAAACATGAAACAAGTATACCAAAGAACCAATTTGTGTTTATGCTAGTGATTGATAGAAAAGTTCAAGAAAAAGAAGAGAGATCTTTCTATGATGTTCATTGATCTAGAGAAAACATCTAATAGAGTCCCTAGAGAAATAATATGGTGAGTTTTGAAAAAGAAAGGAGTTCCAAACAAGTATGTGGACATAATTAAGGATGTGCAACTAGTGCTAGAATGCCTGTGGGAGAGGCATCAGAATTACACTAATAAATAATCATGGATGAATTAACTTAGCATATTCATGAGGAGGCCACACGGTGCTTGTTGTTTACTGATAGCATTGTATTAAGGCCTCGTTTGTTTACCAGTGAATAAGAGGGGGGAAGTTGGTCAATGGGTATCTCTTCCCATTGACCAACTTTACAATGTTCTTTTTGCATTAAGTACTGGGCCCCACGGTAAAGAGAGATTTATTTACCCGGGTAAAACTTACCCATCTCCTAGGTGGGCAAGTAACTTTCCCACTTGGGGGAAAAGATTATAAAACATGATGGGACAAGTTTTTCCTTTTTAACATTAGCTTTTTATGGGCGAAAAGGTCATTATATTACTTACCTGGGAATCAAAAGAACATAGGTAAGTGTTACCTAGGAATGGGTAAATGCACTTACCCCAGTAAGTGAGAAATTTGTAAACAAATGGGGCCTAATTGATAGACGAATGAAGGACTACAGGGAATTATCCTTTGTAAGTTTTTTTAGTTAACTGCAACTTTTATGATTCTAAGGATTAATTAAAACAGTACAATAGAGCTAGCCCTCTTATAGTTAAGAGTACAAGTAGCCCTCTGTCAACCTATCTAAAGGTGGCCTTAACCTCTTTTGCTGTCTCCCAAATCTCCTTCATGTCTCCTTAATGGCATGTTCAACATTCTTGCTACCACCTCCCAACCTAGGAAGTAATCTTTATTAGTTTCATCAATACACTGCGATCAGCAAACAACAAGCACCATGGGACCTCCTCATTGCATATTACTAATTTTTTTTATAGTAATCAATCCAACTACTTAAGATGGATGAATGCAGCTTTTCCTCGGAAACCAGATGGAGAAACAACAGGAAAAGTACAAGACAAATCTTTTTTGTTTGAACTTTGAAGAAACCAAGCTAAGAAGAATGTCAACTTTGAAGATCAAAGAAATGAAGAAGGCAATGGGGTTGATAGTTGGTGATGTAGTATTATAGCTTAAAAGATCTCTTAACATAGCAATTTATACTAGGAAGAAAATAGAATGGAAGGACATGGTAAGTGTAGGTGGGAGAAGAATGGAACCTTAAAAGTTTGGGAACCACCTATGGAAAGTTTCACTAAACTTTGACGAGAGAAGCTTTGGTAACCCTAGGGATGGCAATTTCGTGTGAATTTTTGGGTATCTGACCCGTCCCAACACTAATAGTACCTGTTTATCAAAACCCTATAGGGTTTGGGATGGGTTCGGGATTTTAGAATAAAACCCTATAGGGTTTGGGACGGGTTTGAGTTTTGACTTTAGGGTATCCGATACCCGATACCCGAGATGCATAAATATGAACCCATTATATTATATACCCGGGATGCATAAATTTGATAGATTGTTTATTTCATTTAGTTATAAAATGCTAATTTTAAATATATATTTTTTTTATTTTTAGTTGGAACTGTTAATCATATATATGTATTGATTGTTTTGATGAACACAAAAGTTAATAAAATCTATTTTATTTCATTAAATAACACAAAAGGCGAGATGGCTTAGTGGCTTAAAGTAGTGCTAAGAGATTTGGTGCTATCATTAATTGATCTGGGTTCAAGTCACATTATAAGCATTAAGAAAATTTTTTTAGTAGAAAACGTTTGATCAAGGGGTTTAATGGGTGGGAGGGGTCGAGATGGGTTTAACGGGTTTGGGACGGGATGAATTTGGGAAATTGAGAGTAAAAGTTAGACGGGTTTGGAATTAGGGATACATAGGCGGATTCGGGAATGGGTAGGGAAATTTGCACGGGTACCTTACCCGTTGCCATAATGCCATTCCTAGGTAACCTAGGCCCCTTGGAGTGTAATCGCTCTTTTCTCGGGTCCTGTTGGCCTAAGAGACCCCACAAGAGCGAAATTGCTTATTGTACTTTATGGAGCTCAAAAAGCAAAAGAAGTGAATTTGGAAAGGTTGGTTATTGAAGAGGACTCTCAAGTGGTAGTGAGTTGGCTAAAGAATGAAAAGAATGCAGCTTGGATCTACAAAGAGGCTATTAAGAATATCAACTGGTTAATAAGGGGAACGAAAATATCAATTCAATGGGTTCCAAGGGATACAAATGGGTTGGCTGATTCTTAGCTAAGCAAGGGGTAAATAGAGGACGGTTGTACTGGGCTCAATTGTAATTTTTGTACTTTTAGGGTAAACCTACTACCCCCTCTTGGATCCTCATTGTACATATTTGTTTATATTAATGAAATGAATTCATGTTATCTATCAAAAATATCATCAGCGTAATCAAAGGGAACATCCAATAAGTCACCAAGCCTATTGTTGAAATGGCGCATGATCAGATTAAGATTAAACAAATCGAATATGTTGTAGCACAACTCTAAAACCCACAAAAGGAATAGTTAGATTAATAATATCTATTTTATTATTATAATCTAAAAAATAAAGAATATAGAAAATATTCCATAGTCCCATGTTGCCTAGGTGCCCGCGTAGGCATCACCTTGACAACTATGTCCATGACACAGACAAAGCGAAGCAAGTAACAGATATTGCCTACTAATAGACAAACAAATGCAGCACACAACTCCACATCAAGTAAAATCACTTTATAGTGATACATAAATATGGTAGGGGACCAAACATTGTTTTGAAAGTGAAGGACCATTTTGTACCCAGGGCGCAAGCCACAAGGCGAGGCACACCCCTTTATGAAGCAAGGTGCGAAAATGCAAAAAAAAAAAAAAATCTAAAAAGTTCAAAAAAATGCCAAAAAATAAAAAATGCAAAATATTAAAAATATTAAAGACATTATTAATTAAAAATATAAACTTAAATTTCAAAATAAATGCTTTAAAAAAACCTATTATCTCAAATTAAAATACATAAACATAACATGTAAAACATATTTAAAATGAAAAATTAAAAATAAAATCAAATATAACATATAAAACATATTCAAGCATGAAAACTCTTAATCTCTTTATTTTTTTTCCAAATTGCATTAATTCAAATAGCTAAAGTGATGTTAAACATCATGCATTCCTAATTCAAGGAGCTGCTTTTGTACAAAGCCCCTTGAGGCAAGTCCAAACAAGTTCATATTAGGGTCTTAAATTCTTAATCCCTATAAAAAAAGGTTTTACAACTCTAAGTGTCTTTTAAAATATCTTCTTATTAGGATGAATGAATGAGCAACATTAGAAAAAATGAGGTTTTCAAACTAGTTTGGGCTTGCCTCAAGGAGCATGGTTGAGGCAAGCCCCTTCAGGCAAGGTGCACCAGGTGCACACCTGGGCTGAACACAAAAAACAGCTGCTAAACACAAAAAACAGAAAAAAAAATGCACAGATTTTCAAAAGGTGCATGCCTGGGATGAAGCGCAAGGTGCACCAGGCACACACCTAGGCACACCAGGCGTGTGCACCTTTTGAAAGTGCTGCACCTGGGACCTATGCATAGTACATACCCTAAAATGCGCCTCATCTGTGTGCCTAGGCGTGCCTAAGACGTGCCTCTAAAATCACTGCACCCAAATTTGCCAGCCTCAATCATTTCTCCAGAAAGTCATGAAAAATGTCATATGAAACCCTAAAAGGATATTCTATCAGAATTTAGGGAGATCTCTAATGCCTAGCATTAATGATTGTAAAAGTGATCACTGATCAGGTCATCTGGGTACCATGATGATACCAGTTACAGTGCAGTCAATCAAATTGTTCCTGCTATTGTTCATGATTATAACCTGCGATAGTACTAAGTTGTGACCATCGCAGGTTCAGAAGAAAGAAGATGGCAATGAAAATTGAGATATAAAAGGAATTCGGAAAGTGAGAGAAAGATGCACAAGCACTTATTCTCAGTTATTAACTTAAGAGAAGAGTACATAATTACAATAACATCCCTACTACAGTACAAACTTACAGTTGCTACCAACATAAGACAAATACCATTGACAACCAGAATAACAGCCAATTCCATTTGTTGTATTCCATCAGAGCTTGTTTATGCAGAACAAAGGTACTTGGGGTTAAATATAATAACAATCTTAAGGCATTGAAGCCAGTGATAATCCTAATTGGATAGCACTCAAAAACCGTATCTCAACATCAAATGCATTTTCTTTGTAATCACTTGGTTTTCAAGATTACAAAGCAAGACAAGAATACATAGCCATACGTTGACAGTGTAAATACATGCATATACTTATGTTTTCCCCATTATACAGCTCCTAAATGTACATGGGTACTCTTAGTTTATCAGGACTTAATAAACGCGTTAACCTTTTTAAAAAATAAAAAAGATTAAGCAGTGAGGAACATATAACAGCAATCATGAATCAAGTGACAGGAGAGGGAGAAACATTTCCAGAGTACATTGTGGGAGATTCTATGCATTCAATAGCTTCTGGAAATTTCATGCAAGTCAACTTATTAATCTGGCCAACGTGGAAAAGCTAATCACGCTCACCTTTGTTATCACCCCCTTGCTTTGTCTTATGAATTTTGCTATCAAATTCCAGTCCCTCAAGTTTTGACAAGATCCATTTTGGTGCACTGCCAAGCCACAGTGCCAGGCCACTATCCTTGTGCTTGAAATCAGGATACCTGGCATTTATCTACATAATACAATAATATAAATAAAAAATTTCAGACAATCAAATATAGAAGACTTGTGTGCTGAGAGAGATGATCACCGATCCATCAAGCTTGTATTTCCGGTAGTCTCTCCACTTATTTGGATTGTCAACAAGGTCTCTCCAACAACTCTCTCCAGTTTCCACATCTTTCGTCTTAAGATCTGTGACTGAAAAGACTTTATTGCCTGAGCTCATTGATACCAAGAATGTATATCGCAAATTGGTTCAAAAATTTATTTGATTAATATTGGAGCAAAATAAGATAACTAAATGACATTAGTTACCACTTTTCTGCCACTTCTGTGTAATTTTATGATCAAATGTTAGATGATTGAGCCTAAGATGAATTGATTCTGGAGTAGACTCATCAATGCATAGTAATTGGCCATTCTCTTTGTGTTCAAATGCTGCACCAGTTGGATTGTTCTGGCAAGATGTACAGAAGAATAAAAAGAAAAAAATTACAAACCAATAAACATGATTATGACAACCCAGAACAGATAAAAGTGATGAAATATCACAAATCCAAAAACCTTATTCAATCTGATGTCCCACCACTCATGAGGCTTTGCAAGAAGATCATCCCAATACTGTTTAACAGAAATATCATCCTTTGTCTCTGCTACAGTGCAAGACATCCAGTTTTAAATCAAAATACAGTACAATAGTGATAAGTTTGTTTCCATTTGGAAGCAAAAGAAATGTTCAACTGTACAAGATTGATAATAAATTATCTATATCTAAAGATCCATTAGCAGCTTATCATGGAGCTGCACAAAAGCCTGAGTCAGCTCACAAATACAAAGTCTGCATATTCAAAGAAAAAGGCAAAATACTTCTTGTCCATGGTAAAACCAGACACAAGAATGACAGAAGGAATCCAACATAGTTGTTCAGAACACTTTTTATTGACAAAAAAGTACAGCATATAAAGAGCAATCTTTTCCCACTTGAATGTTAAAGGCCTAATAACACTCACCATGCATCTAATCCATTCACTCTATCACCGACTGACCTCTAGTTGCCATTCTAAGAAATTCCAATCCAGAGTGCTATACCATCATCAGCATCACCATCCAAAGCATATCCTAACTATATGGGGTCAGCCACATGAATTCTGTTTGCCATTTCATTCTGTTTAATGTCATATCCATTGTTAAATTATTAGCACTTAAACCATTTCTTACCACTTCTGTGTCTCCCCTAGCCCTCCTAGCCCCTTCAACTTGCAACAAATTACTTCTTCTTATGGGCACTGTTGACGGACTTCTAGTTTTCCACTTTTTCCAATCATCCATCTCAGCATACTGATGGGATATACTGCCCACTGCAGAGGTCTCTTCAAGGGAGACCTAACCTCCTATACGAGAGAAGAAGAAAATGAGATAAAGCCAGGTCTGCCCTATTTCCTTTCTTCTCAGATATTTATAGTGCTTACAAGGATTTCTTGAGAGATGTGCATGGCACTGTTCACTGCTGACATGTCTTCCTTGTGTACAGGAATCGATTTGGAGGACATTTGGCTTCAGTGATTGGGCCTGACTGATCATGGGCCTCAAACTGATGGCTGGGCTGGGTCTCTCGCTGGATAAGAGTCTGGCCCTGGATTGCCACTTGGGATGGGGGCTCAACAGCTTGCGCCCCCCCCCCCTTTCAAAATAACCTTGTCCTCGAGGTTGGAATCAGGAAATAGTCTCTTAAGAGTGGCACAATCTTCCAATGATGCATCTTCCTTAGGCAGGTGCTTCAGACCACCAGTGCTTCTTTGTTAAAGATTTTTCATGACTTGACCCACCTTTGATCCCAAACCTCTAGTGGTTTTGGTTGCAATCGTCCGTCATCATCAAACGTAGGTAAGGTGGGACTAGCATCCACATGGGATCACACACTTTTCTTCAGCAAAGAGATGTGGAAAACAGGTTGAATACGAGGAGGAAGGTCCAACCTAAAGGCCACCTCCCCCACTTGGCCCATTATACGCAAAGGCTCGAAAAATCTGAGTGCAATCTTGGGCCACCGTCGATGGGCTACTGATGTCTGTTGGTAAGGGTGGAGCTTCAGATACACAAATTCTCCCACCTTATACAACACCAACCTATGTTTCTTATCATATTGGGCCTTCATCTGTTATAGGGCCCGAGCCAGGAGCTCCTTCAATGACTTCAGAATTTCATCCCTCTGCTGTAACACTTCCTTGACCTCCACCACAGATGTGGAGCCGAGTTCATATGGTAGAATCAAGGGTGGTTTCCTGCCAATACAAGGCTTTAAATGGGCTCATGCCTAGTGATGAATGGTAAGTGGTGTTATATACCACAATTCGGCCCACAGCAACCAGCACATACATTACTTGGTCCTCTCTCCTGTAAAGCACCTCAAGTAGGTTTCCAAACATCTGTTTACAACTTCGGATTGACCATGCTTGGGGGTAATATCTAGTAGTGTGGTTCAGCTGGGTCCCTTGGGACTTGAATGGACTCATGCCTAGTGATGAAAGTTAAGTGGTATTATACCATAATTCGGCCCACGGCAACCAGCGCATCCATTGCTTGGTCCTCTCTCCTGTAAAGCACCTCAAGTAGGTTTTCAAACATCTGTTTACAACTTTGGATTGACCATCCACTTGGGGGTGATAGCTAGTGGTATGGTTCAGCTGGGTCCATTGGGACTTGAAGTATTCAGTCCAGAAGTAGCTCAAAGTCGGATCCCTGTCAATCAAGAAAGAACAGGGTGTCCCTTGAAGGCGTGTCACTTCTTACACAAAGATGCACGCTACTTGTGCTGCTGTATAGGGCTGGTCCAGACCAAACCAACAAAATGGGTGTATTTGGTTAGCCTGTCAACCACCACCATAATCATCAACTTGCCAATGGACACTGGAAGACCTGTCATGAAATCCATAGTTATATCTAGGGGTGAGCATTTGGTTTATTCAGTTAAAAACCAAACCGAATAAACCGAAATTTTAAAAACCAAATTAGAAAAATGAAAACCAAACCGAAACCAAATTAGAGGAAAACTGAAATTTTTGGTTCAGTTTTCGGTTAAAACCGAATTTCAAAAATATACTATATTATATTATATTATATATATATATCATAACATACAATATATAAATATATTATATATTAAATATAATATGTATTATATATTACATGCTATATAGTAAAGTTCAGTTAATTTTGGTTCGGTTATTTCGGTTTTAACCGAATAATGCTCACCCCTAGTTATATCCTCTCATACCTGAACCGGGATTGGGAGAGGCTTCAGCAATTCAGCGGGTGACTTAGTTATCATATCTGTTCCATTGGTAGGTGGGGCACTGGGCTACAAACTGTTGTATGTCTTTCTTCATTCCTATCCAAAATACGTGTTGGCTCACCCTCCGGTGGGTTCTGAATATCCCGAAATAGCCACCCAAGGGAGAGCAATGGAATAATTGGAGCAATTCAGACAAAAACTGGGAATGGGCTGCAATTACCAGTCAGCCCTAAAAAAAGAGATCTGGGCCAACTAAATGAAACACAATCGATGTTGTGGGGTCTTCTTTAATTTTTTGAACAATTTTCTTAAGTGCTTCATCCTGTTGGGCTTCTTCTTTCAACGTAGATAGTAGGGGAAAGCTGGGCCTGGACTCACTCAACACTGCCACTTCACGGGTCCAGGACAATGCATCTGGTGCCTTGTTCATTGGTCAGGCTTATACTCTACTCTTTAGTCAAACCCTAGCAACTTTTACAACCATTTCTACTGGTCAGGGCTATGAGCTTGTTGCTCCAATAGGTATTTGAGTCTCTAATGGTCTGTGCAGATATAAAGGGACGGCCTAGTAGGTAGGATCTCCATTTCAGAACAGGTAGGACAATGGCCATTAATTCTTTGTCATAGGTGGATTTCAATTAGGCCTGGGGGGATAATATCTTGTTAAAATAGGCAATGGGTTTTCCCTATTGCATGAGAACCATGCCAACACCAGAATTGGAGGCATTGCATTCGACTACAAACTCCAAAGAGAAATCATGCAAGGAGAGGATGGATGGTGTGGATAGGGTCTATTTGAGGGCTTCAAAAAGCTTTCTGGGCATGTTCATTCCAGTGAAAGGCATTCTTTTTGAGTAGTTGTGTTAATGGGCTTGCCAAAATACCATAGTTTTGTATAAACCGCCTATAGTATCCAGTTATCCCAAGAAACTCCTCGAGGGACCTGATGGATTTGGGTGATGCCCAATGTACAACTGTTGTAATCTTGTCTAGGTCGGCCCTAACCTGGCCATGGGAGACAATATGGCCCAGGTAATGCCCTTTGGTCTGGCTGAACAGACACTTTAATGCCTTGGCATAGACCTAGTGCTGCCTTAAAACCCCCAGGGCATAGTTGTCAAGGCGATGCCTAGGCGACAAGGTGCCCTTTGAGGATCACCTCGCCTAATCACCAAGCAGTTTTCTACTTCCTACTACAAAATATTTTTTTATTCATTCTTTTTTGAGATTATAATTATAAAATAGACATTATTAAACTAAAATAATCATTTTGTGTGTTTATATACTAATTTCTTTTTATTATTTTCTTATCTATTAGGGTTTAATCAACACAAGCATTGCTAAATGCTGTATTGAACCCTCAAAGACTTAAAACCCTGAACCAATAAGTAAGGAAGAACTTAAAATTTTATCTAATCAGCACATTCTCCTCTTCCATATATTCTTCTTCTACTACTACTACCAATACTTTTTATTTTCTTCTTTTCCTATAACAAAAATAAGGGTTTAGCCCCTATATTCTTTTAATTTTATTTTCCTTCTTCCTTTTCTTCTCATGAATATGTTGATTTTCTATACTTTAAGATGAAATTTATACTTTTCTTATGAAAATCATGAATAATTATTAAAGAAATATGGTTATGGTATCTAGGGAACTACCCTAGGGTCTATGTTTTTAACATAAAAAAAATCCATCGCCTAGGCGACTAGGCGACAAGGTGCCCCCCAATTGCCTAGCCTCGCCTTGGCGCCTTGAAAACTATGCCCCATGGTGATATCTAGGTGTCACAAATGGGATTCCCAACTATCATTGTACACCGAAATGTCATCGAAAAACACAAGGATGAACTATTGAAGGTAGGGCCATAATTTGTCATTGATTAAGGCTTGAAATGTGGAGGGGATATTGGTTAACTTGAAAGGCATAACTAAGAACTCATAATGCTTGTAATGAGTTTTGAACGCCATCTTAGCCACATTCTCAGGGTGGACTCGAATCTAATGATAACCTGCTCTCGACTTTGAGAAAACAATGGTAACTCCTAGCTCATCAAACAACTTGTCTATCACTGGTATGGGAACTTTGTCCTTCATTGTGATATAGTTTAAGGCCTAGTAATCCACACAGAACCTCCACGTACCATCTTTTTTTTATGACTAGTAGGACGGGGGAGAAGAATGGGCTAGTGTTGGGTTTTATCATTCCCTTTTGCCTTAAGTCGTTTACAATCTTCTCAATTTCAGACTTCTAAAAAATGTGGGTACTAGTATGGTTTTACATTAGTTGGCCAAGCGTCTGGCATGAGAGAGATTTTATGGTTGTGGGCCCATTCTAGAGGGAGACCTATGGGTTCCTGAAAGACATCCCAATACGTGTATAGCAACTGTTGCAGTTCTGTTTGGYTCATCACTAGTTCCATTGGGCCTGGTTGAAAGTGAAGGATAGGGCCCACCTGATCCATCCCTGAGTAGAGAATGACTGGTGGGGAGAAGTTGTAGCTTTGTTTAAGGGTCAGTTTCGACTCCTCTTGGAGGGAGGGTCTTGGGTTGAGGCCCCGAGGTGTACAACTTCGCCCATTTACCGTGAACATCATAGAGAGTTGGGCCCAATCACAGGTAACTCGATCCAATTGTTGCAACCACTGGACGCCCAAAATCAGATCCTCCCCCCTTAACTCAAGTGGATGCAAGTCTTCTTGAAGTTATTGTCCCTACACCTTGATCCCCACTACTTTGCATATCCTGTCACACCTTAGTTTCTACCCATTGGCTACATGGGCCAAGAAGGGAACCACGGGTCCCACCACTAAGTTAAGTTGGTTAATCAACTGTTCGGACACAAAATTCAAGGAACTCCCACTATCCACCAATATAACCACCTAATGGCCCCAAATACAGCCCAGAGTCTCATGGTACAAGGTGAGGATGAACTGGTCAGAGCATGAAGAAAAATCTCCAGTTCCTTCTCCACGAGGTCCTTAACCACATCTAGGATCCCATCTTTAGCTACAAGATCCCCGTCCTCAGTTTCATCTGATTCCAATAAAAATAGTTGTGGTTTCTTACAACGGTGACCAGGCCCAAGCTTATTGTCACAGTTGTAGTAGAGTCCCCGCTCGCAACGGGACTACATCTTTGCCCACGTGAGACATCTCAAGGGTAACCCATTTGGTCTTGGTCGGAGGAGTCTTGAGGATGGATCCATTCTGATTCGACTTGGCAATTCGGATAAGCTTGTTAAGTCCCTCTTCATGCAAGCAGACCAAATGAGCGACAACATTAACAGTAACCGATTGCAAGGCCTTCACTTCATATTTGAAATCGTCCTTCAGCCCCCCCAAGAAGCAGCCAACCAGAGCCACCTCAGGCCATCCATAGACCCGAGAGGTTAGTTTCTCAAATTCGTTTTGATACTCCCTTACTATTCCCACCTATTTCGATCTAGATAGGGCTTCATCAAAGATTTCAAACCCAAATGGACTAAAGCGGTGACAAATGGCCTCTGTAAATTCCGACCACCCAATCTAAGGGTTTTTGTGTCAATACCATTGTAGCCATTGAATGGATTCTCCCTCCATATGGATCGAAGTCATCGACACACTGATGGCCAGGGATCTCATTTATCCCAAAGAATCTCTCTGCTCTAAATATATAGGAGAAGGGATCCTCACTAGAGAAAGTGGGAAACACTAGCTTAGCCAACCATTTGAACCCAGCTCCCGAATGAGTTCCTGGAATGGCTTGAACCTTCAATATCCCCTTCGCACCAATTGGAGTTGAACGTCTTCTGGCATCGGCTTCCACCCTCCTAGATGGAATCCTTCAGTTCCTGTAGCTCACTGAACACCTTATGAAGCTTACCTTCAATCTTGTCAATGTGATCCTCCATAGTTGATGACTGAACACCGTCTGAACCTAGTTCTTGTTGCCACTGGAGATGGCTCTGATACCACTTTGATGGGATTCTGCCCAGCACAAAGGTCTCTTCGAGGGAGACCTAACCTCCTATATGAGAGAAGTAGAGAAGAAGAAAATGAGACAAAGCTAGATCTGCCCTATTTCCTTTATTTTCAAACATTTATAGTGTTTACAAGGATTTCACGAGACATGTGCATGGCATTGTTCACTGCTGACATGTCTTCCTTGTGTACAAGAATCGAATTGGAAGGTATTTGCCTTCGGTGATTGGGCATGACTAATCATGGGCCTTGAACTGCTGGTTGGGCTGGGTCTCCTACTGGATAAGAGTCTAGCCCTAGACTGTCACTTGGGATGGGGGCTCAACACATACACATTCTGCACACTCATTTTTTTTGACATGTTTCTTGACTGCCCAACACTCTACACCATAAAGCATAGCTAGCCTTGCAATTGTTTTATAAAACTTTCCTTTTAATCTAAGAAGTATTCTCCTATCACAAAAAAGTCCAGATGCACCCTTCCCTTTTTCCCAACTACCTCTAGTTCTATCAGTAACATCCTCCTCAATCTCTCCCTTGTTATGAATTAGTGAACCAACGTCCGGAAAAGCTCACATTGAATTATCTCTTGGTCATAGACCAGGTCAGACGGATTTATAGTAAATAAAAATAAAATTCTATAAATAAGAAAAAATACACAAAGGGGAAAGGGTGAGGATATGACACCTTAACCTAGAAAATAAATAGTAACTTCAAAAATTCAATAGATAACCATTTGAAACAGTGTTTTAAGGCATGTGCCTAACCTAAACCCACATGCCACTCATTTCAAATGGCATACACAGAGTGTACCTTGCACCTCAACCTAGGTGAATGTCTTTTACATATGCCATTTTTGTTATTTTTGTAGACTCCTATGTTTTACACCTTTGTCATAGTTTATAAACTTTTAAATTACCTTTTAGTTAATGTCTCTATGCTAGTAGTGGTCTATTAACTTTAAAAACATACAAAAACAAAGACCTTTCAAGTACCTAAAGCCTTCTTGCAAATAGGATTTCAATAACAAAATTTCCACATAAAAAGAAGCAAAAATACAATTAATATCTGATCTCTAATCCTAAAATAGAATGAACTGCAACTAAAATCACAAACCAACCCTTTTAATATACACGAGCCAAGTGTTTAGCTTGGGGGTGATTCCCCAAACGCCTACATAGACTTGTTTGAGCTTGCCCAAATGGGCATTTATGGAGGTGGAGGGACAAACTCCTAGGATTAGGGTTTTAGGAATGGAAGACATAACATCGTACTAGGTACTTGAAATAATACAATTAGGAGATAAATAAACAAATTTTTTCATGAATTATTGATTGCTTGAAGCATTCTGTTGTACAATCCACATGATTGCTTTCACTTCCACAAATTCACTTTTAATATGTTCTATATGTTATTCCAACATATTTTAACTTGAACCAATAGTTTTTTTAACATCCAGTTTCATTTATATTCCAGGTTTAAATTTTTTATGTATCGCTGATTCCTGTATTTTTTTTTTCAACAATTAATACCTTGCTTCAAAAAGGCATGCACTTCACCCTGCACCTTGTGCACTATAAGGCTCCAGCAATTTTCTTGTGCCTTTCACTTTTAACTCACTGATTACAAATCATCCATTAACATTTCTACAGTGGACCAAAAGCAAGAATAAATGAAAGAAAAAATAACCAAAATATAGATAAAATAAAAAATATAATACAAAATTCTAACTTAAGCACTAAGCTTTCTAAAGAATAAATCAGTTTAGGAAGCAAATGCAAGGGGACAAATCACCTTTATGGAAGTATAATGAAGTACAAATGCAAGCAAGCTTGCATACCCGTCCAATATGTAGTTGTAACACTTGTCTTATTCAATCAAAAATGCCCTAATTCTCTCTTAAGAGTTAGCAATATCAACAGTTGGTTGGGTGTGCACTTATGAAATTGTGTGTGTGTGTGTGAGAGAGTGTGTGCAAAGGTCTTGGGCAGGCAGCCCATCCATTTGTATGTGTGTAACAATAAAATGAATGAAATGCCCATAAATAAAAGATTGATGGATACCAAATAACTCAAAGTAACTTAGATCCAAATAAAAATAATCAACTAATGAATAGTGGAGTAAAGAAAACAAAGAAATATATTGTTAGTATAGACAGCTATGACAACTGAGATGGACAATACAGCAAAATTATTTAATTAACCAAATTATTAGTACATACTAATTTGTTTTTAAGTTGCAAGGAGTCACAAATAAACTCTAGAGTAAGAAACAAAAAAAATTACCAGAACCAATACTCGGTTCATCCTTTTTATAACTGTAGCTCAGCTTTCCTTTACGAGATACAAAATTTATGCTCTGTACCATCACCTAAGATAACAACGAAAAGGTGTTTAGATACAGAAAACAACTGACAAAACAATGAGACTATAAAACAACCCCAGACCCTGAGAAGGATATTTAATTTATGCACAACCAACATACATCAAAATCAAAATATATCTACAACTTTAACAAAAGTATAGGATGAACAGAAGGAACATGTAATCAGAAGACCTTTTATGAGCAATCAAAAAAGATTACAAATAGTAGATACAAGAATTTACAAGAAAGGAAAAGGCAAATTGTATTTAACAGTGTAATGCTCTCTACACACTAAACAGTGTTTTCTGATAAATAAATGAACTTCTTATTAATTTGGAAATATTAGCACATACAAGCAGCCCTTGGAGAGGTGCAAGCTGTGACCTCTCCACTAAAGAAGAAAACGAAAGAAATAAGTTACAGTTGTGCCCAATACAAAACTTCCCTAGCTGCCCCTTGCTTGGCTAGACAATCCGCCAAAGCATTTGCTGATCTCCCCACCCATTGTATTCTTAGGTCCATGTTTATTGTCAGCACCTTGAATTTTTTAATTCCATTACTGAAGCACCAAACTACTGACTCTGGGTCCTGCAACCAGCTTATTACAACCTTTGAGTCACCTTAAACTATTAGCTGGTTCACCCCTAATTGAGCTGCAAACTGTACACCTTGCAAAGCAGCAAACATTTCTGCTCTAGTAGAATCTCCCACTCCTAAAGGACCTGAGAAGACAAGTATCACATTCCCAACTTCATTCCTCAATACCCCACCTAACCCAGAAGGACCTGGGTTTCCTAGACTGCTTCCATAATTCAACTTCAAGAAGCCTGCAGGAGGTGATGACCAGCTTGTTCTCACTTTAGTCTTGGAAGAGGAACAACTTGCCACTGCCGTCCAATTCTTCCAAATGTCATTAAAGGAGAATTGGTGAAACAAGTCCAAAGATTTCAGCCAACGAATCAGCCTCACCAAGACACAGTCCTTTATCTCTAGAAGGTTCCTTTCCTTCTCCAAAAAAAGTTCTAGAATTCCTTTCTTCCCAGATTGTCCATATCAATGCAGCTCTTGCACACCTCCACATGATTTTACCCCTTTTCTGTTGCCAAACAAAAGTAGAGGGATCAAAAAGCAGTCTTAAATCTGCCGGCAAGTTCCAACTAGTTCCAAACAAAGAGAGAAACCAATCCCATAACTCTGCAGTAAAGGAACAAGAAATTAACAAATGATAACAGTCCTCACTCCGAGATCTACAAAGGATGCACCAGTTGGGGGAAATACAAAGAAAAGGTTTACTTTCCCATAGTACACTTCCCAACAGAATGCCAAAATCTTAGGGGGAACAGGTCTGCACCAAAAGTCCTAAACAGGGAAGGCCTGTTGAGGGTTAGAACTGCAAAGGGATTTGAAAAAAGAAGCACAAGAGAAAGATCCTTCGGATTGAGGTATCCAAAATCTTTTGTCAGGTTCAAAGGGGTTCAAACAAACTTTCTCAAGAAGGCAGAGTAAACTGACTAAGCACTCTATCTCCTCATCCCTTAAGCCTCTATGGAACCCAAAATCCCAAGTAGGAGCCCAAGGGGTTTCCAATGAGGCAAAATTTGGAAACAACCTCTTTTTTGTATCGAGAAACTGAGAACAGGGAGGGGAAATGGGTTTTCAGGGGAACATCTCCAACCCAAATGTCCTCCCAAAAGAGGATGGACTTGCCATCACACACATCATAACTGATATGACTGAGGAACAGAGGAAGAATATTGTGCACTGCCTTCCAAGGGGTTACTGAAGTTGCCTGGCTTGATACACCAGCATCCCATCTATTCCCTAAGCATCCAAGTATGCTTCTGATCACCTCATGCCACAACCTGACTCTCTCTAATGGCCACCTCCACAGCCACTTCCCCAGTAAGGCTGTATTTTTCTGAATTAAGTTCCCTAGTCCCAAGCCCCCTTCCTCTTTACTCCTATACACCACCTCCCACTTAATTAAATGGTCTTTCCTATTTTCCCCTGATTACCAAAGAAAGTCTCTCATTAATTTTTCCAACTTCTTAGCTTCCCTAGTTGGGATCCTAAAGACAGAATAAGTTGGAAGGTTTGCAAGTGTAGCTCTTGTTCTCTTATTAAGGTGATTCTTCCCCCAGAGAGATGTAGTTTTTTTCTCCATGAAGCCAATCTCTTCTCAAACTTCTCTACAACTGGGCACCAGAACCTACTGTCCCGAGGATTTGCTCCTAAAGGAAGCCCCAAATAGGTCAAAGGCCAAGTAGAGATAGAACACTCTAAGCGCTCAGTAATAGCCTCCACTTCTGTTCACTCCAAATTAACCCCTGCAATGCAACTCTTTTCAAAATTGATTTTCAAGTTGGGAATACTTTCGAAGTTTCTAATCAACACCTTTAAACTTCTCACCCTCTCAATCTCAGCCTCCTCACAAAAGATTAACATGTCATCCGCAAACTGGAGATGGGCAACTGGGGTCTCATTTCTACCAACTCTCCACCCTCTAACTACACTTTCTCTATCAGCCTTAGAGATTAAACGACTAAGCACATCAGCAACAAAGGTGAAAAGAAAGGGTGAGAGAGGGTCCCCTTGCCTGATACCCCTGCTAGCTGAGAAGAAATCCTTCACCACTCCATTCACCAGGATTGAATTACACCACCTAAGATCCAATTACACCACTTTTCACCAAAGCCACAGTTTCTTAAGACTTCACTGTTCCAGACAAGGAGATATTGTATACACATTAGCTTTCAATCTTAGACATGCTTTAAAACTAGTGTTAATGACTCATAGATGTCTGTCACCTCCTAAGATAAAACTTCGATTTATTTTAATCAGCAACAGCAATCATAGGAAACTAAACTAAGAGCTAAAGATATGTAAAACACCTACAGCCCCAATTAATAAGAACGTAGGAAACTAATACACAGCTAAAAGCTGTCATTCACAAAATGCATGAATATAAAACAGCCATACAATCCCCAGATACTTAGTTCAGCACTTCCCTTCCCTTTCCAATGAACCAGACAAGTCATTTGCTGATTTTGGAACCAATCTGAGTAAACTATTCAGATTATCAGCTAAAGATTTAGGAGCCATTTAATAATGGCTGAAGTAGCTGAACAAGTTACCAGTATTTGGATTTGGATATATATACTAGTAGCAAGGGCATGCTACAAATTGTCATTTCTTCTAAAATATGCAAGTATTACGATCAGTACCATGCTTTTCATAGGAAACAAAGATGATTGCCTTCAAGATTTAGTCCTATATATGATCTTAAATAATGATATAACATAAATAACAGACAAGAATTCATGAAGGAAGTTGTTCCATCAATTCATTTTGGAAGTAATACATCAAAGACTAGACACGAGCAAGCAAGAGACAGAATTGTCTAGTAGAGATAGAGTTAAGCTTGCTTGCTGATGGCTCTTTCTCCACCATTGCTGGATACTGGTCAAGGGATCATTCCTAATGTTCCCTGATTTGAGTATTTGATCCATGTTTTACATGTTCCTAAACTTCCTATAAATCTTTTATTTGTTAGCTGTCGTATAATAATAATAATAATAATAACAAATACTAATATTACTACTACTACTTATTATAATCCAATCTGCCTTTGAATTCTGTTAGAATACTGACTGTAGAAATAAGAGAAAGAGGAGAAGAGGAAGAAGAGAAGAGAAGAGAATAAAGGAGAGAAGTCTGGTTCGAACAACAGAGAAAATCAGTCTCTCTCTAGTCGGCCAGATCTATTTGTATGTTTCTATTAATCATAAAAAGACACCTTTGCCCCTACTTAAGTGAGGGACACAAGTACTAACATAACTTTACACATCAGCAACTTAAACATAAAGACTAAAATACCCCTACACAGTCAACATTAACACTCCCCCTCAAGTTGGTGAGTATATATCATATAGTCCCAGCTTGTTACATATGTAATCCACTCTTCCCCGACTCAACCCTTTGGTAAACAAATCTGCCCATTGGTTTCCTATGTTAACATATGCAGTACCTATCACTCCACTCAGCACCTTCTCTCTCACAAAGTAACAATCAACCTCTATATGCTTGGTTCTCTCATGAAACACCGGATTATAAGAGATATGGACTGCAGCCCGATTGTCACAATAGAGCTTCATTGGAGTGTCAACAGTGTATCCCATCTCCTATAGAAGGTTCCTCAGCCACACTGATTCACAAGTAGTATGTGTCATAGCTCTATATTCTACCTCTACACTGCTTCTTGCCACAACTATTTGCTTCTTACTTTTCCATGTCACCAGATTACCCCCAAGAAAAGTACAATAGCCTGTAGTGGATCTCCTATCAGATATAGAACCAGCCCAATCAGCACCAGTATATCCCTCTATTTCAAGTTTTCCTCCACTTCTATATATCAGGCCATGACCAAGAGCCCCTTTTAAATACCTCACGATCCTTAGAACTGCATCCCAATGTGAAACCCGAGGTTTCTGCATGAATTGACTTACCACACTAACCGCAAATGAAATATCTAGTCGAGTAATGATTTGGTAGTTTAGTTTACCTACTAGCCGTCGATACCTGCCAGGGTCTTCAAACTCTTCACCCATATCACTGCTCAGCTTAGTATTTGTTTCCATAGGTCTTTCAGTTGGTTTGGCATCTAACAATCCTGTTTCTTCCAACAAATCAAGAACATATTTCCATTGACACAAATTAATACCATGCTTAGACCTTGCTACTTCAAGTAGTAGCATCACTAAAATCAAAGTTGTTCAGTGACTTTTTCCCTAATCGGTGTGTTTTTCAAGATATGGAGACAAGGAAGATGATTGGGACTAGCCATGAGACGAATGGAATCTACCTGATTGGAGGGTGTCTACATGGGGAAGATAAAGAAGTTTAAAGGTCTTTTGTTTCTCAATCTGTGAGTCAGATTATGCTTTGGCATAATTGGTTGGGTCATTTGTCTTTTAAGTCTTTAAGGAGTTTGTTTCCTAGTTTGTTTGAGTCAGTCCAGATGTCTAGTTTAAAATGTGAAAGTTGTGAACTTGCAAAGAAGTGTAGAACAACCTATTCTTTGAGCAATAAAAGAAGTACTATTCCTTTTGAAATTGTGCATACTAATGTTTGGGGACCATATCATGTCACTGCTATGGGGAGGTACCGATACTTTCTACTGTTTGTTGATGACTACACTCGTTTTTCATGGGTTTATCTTATGCACTCTCAAGATGAGGTCCCTACTCTGACTCGGAACTTCCATCAAATGGTCCTAACCCAGTTCAGAGTCAAAATCAAGGTTTTCAGATTAGATAATGCCAAAGAGTATTTTGCAAAACCCTTGACCATGGGTTATTCATAAGAGCACTTGTCCCCGCACACCTCAGCAAAATRGAGTTACTGAGAGAAAGAATAGGCATATATTGGAGGTAGCTAGAAGCATTATGCTAAACTCCAATGTTCCTATACGTTTCTGGGGGGATGCTATCCATACAGTAGTGTACCTCATCAACAGGGTTCCTTCTCAGGTCCTAGACATGAAAATTCCATTCAGCCTCTTACATCCCGATAAAGACTTGTTCACTATTCCCCTTAAAACCTTTTGATGTACTTGTTTTGTTCAGATTCTTGGATACCATCGTTCTAAGTTTGACCATAAAGCTTCCAAATGCATATTTCAGGGTATGCACTAAATCAAAAGGGATATTTGCTACTATGAACCTACTTCTGGGAAATAGTCTATTTCTATAGATGTGACTTTCTTTGATCATGTTCCCTACTATCACAGAGTTTCCTCTCAGGGGGAGAGTAGTGAGATGTGTTTACCCACATCAGAAATTCCTTTACCTATCTCAATCGCTGAAGGGGAGTGTAATGAGGAGGGTTGTCAAAAGTGTAGGGAATTGAGGGTGTTTCGTAGGCGGTGGAGACAAGTTGATTTCGGTCCTCAGCAGTTCAAGCCAGCTCCAATTTCCTCTGCGGCTCCAGATTCAGGTACTACAGTTCCCTCACATCCTAATACAGATGAGATACCTCCCATCACTGAGCCTAATGAGATGCCTCCTATTACTGAGTCTTCACCTCCTTTGGATGATCTTGATCTTCCAATTGCTATCCGGAAAGGGAAACGCCATTGCACTTCATCTGCGGCACATTGTATTTCTCAATTTTTGACTTATGACCATTTGTCTCCATCCTATAAGTCCTTTTTGGCATATATTTCTGCCACCCCCATTCCTAGGATAGTGCAAGAAGCCTTGTCAATAGCAGAGTGAAGGATGCCATGAAGGTAGAAATGGATGCTCTTCTCAAAAATAATACATGGGAATTGGTTGATCAGCCGAAAGGGAAGAAACCGGTTGGGTGTAGATGGGTGTTTGCAGTAAAACATAATGTTGATGGCTCTATTGAGAGATATAAGGACAGATTAGTTGCAAAAGGTTTTACACAGGCTTATGGCATAGACTACTTGGAGACCTTCGCATTGGTAGCCAAGATGAATACTATCAGAGTGTTATTGTCCATTGCAACAAATTTCTCATCGCTATTGTTCCAAATGGATGTTAAAAATGCCTTCCTCAATGGTGATCTGCAAGAAGTATACATGGAGTTACCTCTCGGATTCTACAGTATAGAAACAAGGAAGAAGGTCTGCCGATTGAATAAAGCCTTACATGGACTGAAACAGCCACCAAGACCATGATTTGACAGATTTAGACTAGCTCTTGGAAAATTCGGCTATGCCCAAAACCAATTAGATCACACTCTTTTCATTAAGAAGACAGGCTCCTTGACTCTACTTGCTGTTTATGTGGTTGATATTGTGGTGACAGAGAGTGATACCCATGAGATTAACTCTCTTAAACAACTGTTTCACAAAGAATTTGAAGTCAGAGACTTGGGAGAACTACGTTATTTATTGGGTATTGAAGTAGCTCGGTCCAAACATGGAATTTTTGTCTCTCAAAGGAAGTATGTTCTTGATTTTCTGGAGGAAACTGGAAAGCTAGGTGTTAAACCAGCTGACACACCCATTGAACAAAACCACAAGATTAGAACTGAAGGTGGGGAGCCCCTTGAAGACACGGCTATATTTCAGAGGTTGGTAGGGAAACTGCTTTTTCTGTGCCTCACCCGACCAGACATTTCTTATGCAGTCAATGTAGTTAGCCAATACATGCATTCTCCCACAACTACTCGTCTTCTTGTAGTTGAGAGGATCCTTGCTTACCTGAAGAGATGTCTAGACAGAGGCATACTCTTCAAAAATAATGATCACATGAAGATAAAAGTCTACACAGATGCTGATTGGGCAGGGTGTGTTGATGACAAGAGGTCGACTTCTAGGTATTGTGCCTTTGTAGGGGGCAACCTTGTCTTTTGGAGGAATAAGAAACAAAATGTTGTAGCACGTTCCAGTGCTGAAGCAGAATACAAATCTATGGCACATGATGTGGCTGAAGTATTATGGTTGAGGTCCTTGCTTGAGGAACCGGGAATTGCTTATGAGAAACCCTTGATGTTATACTGTGATAATCAGGCTGCTATTAACATTACCCACAATCTAGTACAGCATGACAGAACTAAACATATTGAGGTGGATCGACACTTTATCAGAAAGAGAGTTGCCTCTCAAGAAGTGTGTATTCCATATATTGCCTCCGATATGAAGCTTGTTGGTCTCTTCACCAAGGCAGTTACAAAAGCTAAGTTGGAAATAGATTTACACAAGTTGGGAATGATAAATATCTATTCCCATCTTGAGGGGAGTGTAGAGATGTAGAGCAATAACTAGTGCTGTTATTTTATTTATTGTGGTCCCAACTACTGCTGTTAGTTAGTTTTTAGGTTGTTGTTAGCAATGTTAGTTTATTAGTTATTTGCTTATGTAAGCAGTAGAGGCTTTAATGTAATTGCTATCTTTTTTATGTTATTATAAATAGATGAGTGGGGCGGCAGCTATAGCCTATCACTCCTTTCTCTCATCTTTCTCTTCTCTCTTCTTTCTTCCTTTCTTTTCTTCTTCTTCTTCTCTTCTCCAGATTTTTTTTCTTAATCTGCATCAAGAATTGGACTGATTACAGTTCGGATTTGTCTACTAATTTAAACCCTAAAATCCTTTCTTACTATTCCAATTAATGCCCCTTTTGGTCTACCTCTAGCTCTTCTAGAAAATCTAACCCCTTCAACTTGTAACAGATCACTTCTTACTGGTCCAATAGATGGCCTTCTATGTAGGTGACCAAAACCATCTTAGCCTACTTTCGATCATGTTATCACCTATTCGAGCTACTCCTAGGTTCCTTTGTGTAGTTTTCCCACACACACTCAACATTCACATTTATAAAAAGTTAAAGATACCAAAAAAAATGGCATTCCATGATTCCACAATGAATCCAACCTGGACATTTGCTTGACCATGTTGCATAGCGAATGGTGGTGGATCTGCACTCAGTTGTCCACCTACATAGACACGATCATTTTCCTTTAGGTGGCAAGCAGCTGTATGCGCTAAATCACCTTCAAAGATTATAGGAATCCTGATTTATTTAGAGGAAAAAGAAAAGATGCAAGTCAATGAAACAAAAAAAAATGACTTTATGGTAAGTAAAGAAAAAAGAAAAAGAACAGTTTCCATAAACTGTATTTTGCACCACCGATATAATAAACATAAAAGTGAAGCTGAAATAAGGAACTGGGAGAGGAGTTTCTCAAAAGAGACTAAAACCTTCCCTTCCACAATCAATGGCTCATCTTGATAGATTCCAAGGTTAGGGTTTTTTTTTTTGCTTCTCTTTAGTATTTATAAATTAAGTATAAGTGTTCATCTTATTGATTGTCTGGTAGCCCGTGGTTGCTTTCATCATTCCTCAGGAATGGATCATACATTATTTCTTCTCATTTTTCTCTCTTCCAATAACTTGTTTCTGATTTTGTAAGAAAATCAGGCAACCAAAAAGAGAGAAGATAATATGGAGATGCACAAGGGCAGCTATATTATGGTTATTATGAGAATAAAGAAATGTGAAGTTTTTCAATCAGAAATCACAAATAAATCAGGCCATCATTAAGAACATCTCAGTAAAAGTGGTGCATTGGGTAAAAACCTTAGATATCAATGCATCAATCTCCATGGATGATATCTTGAAAGGATTGCATTTAGTGGCTCATTCATCTTTAGCTCATTATTTTAAAAGTGCAAAGTGTAAGAAAAGCACAACAGCTTTTTAGGACATGAATTACAAGCCTTTTACTTTATAAAAAGAAAAAAAAAAAAAAAAAAAAAAAAAAAAAAAAAAATTAACATAATGAAAAACATAAAAAAAATCAAGGAAAAAAAAGAATTGTTGTACATTGAAAAACATGAAAATTTAAATTTTAAAGGAAATTAAATGTCCTGAAAAGCCCTTTAGGATCAAACTAAAACATATAAACTGAAAAGCACAGCATATAAAACATATTCTAAGTAAAAATGTGGAAGTGAAAGGAAACATATGTGGATTGTACCAAAGTGCTTCAAGCATTCAACAATTCAAGTATGTTAAACTTTCAATCCATTTATTTATCATCTAGTTACACAAGTAGCTAGTGTGATGTTAAATATCTTGCATTCCCATCCTAGGAGATCAGTCCTCTGTTTCTGTAAAAATCACTTGAGGCAAGTCCAAAGTCCAAAGAAGTCCATGCTGGGGTTTGGGGCCCCAACCTAAACTTTTGACCTGTATGTATAAGGAGATTAGTATTGTAATTTTAGTCATAGTTCATTCCATTTGAGGATTAGAGATCACATGTAGTTGTATTATCATTGCTTATTTAGTGGAAATTTTATTATTTCAGATCCTATTTGCAAGAACCACAGCTTAAGTATTTGAGGTATAGTCATCTACAACACCTAGGTGTATGCCTAGGCAACAAGGTGCCCACGGGCAACAAAGGCCCTGGTTCTTTTTTTAAAGATAAATAAATAAGAAAGTTTATTGAAAAAGAAAGCAAGGTACATTGACTAGGTGACAAGGAGTATTGAGAAGGCTCCCTGAACCACTTGTCGGTTTAAGGCTGGTCTACCCCCTGAACCACTTGCCGACCCAAAACACCCCCTGGAGGGGCATATCGGGAAGGCTCCAATACGATTGGGCCGATACGTATCGGTACTTTGAAGTTGATCCAAAGTACACCAAAAATCAGTTGCAATATTTACTTTACTAAGGCCTCCAAATTCTGGAAGTAATGGTATATTTGCTGTACACTACTTGTATATTGGCTGTACGCTTTTTGTATCTAAGGACAGAAGTCCTTTTATCTTAAACTAACTCTGAGAAGGTACAGACCAGGTCACAACCTGATTTGTTTTCTTTGTTTTTATCAACTATACATATTGATGTGAACGCTATGCTGTGTCTGTGTTCACCTCTCTTTCTACTTGTGGAACTATTCTAGGGCTATTTTGATCAGCCCTAATCTGCTGAACATTGAAGCTGCACAACCAGTGAAGAAGATTTTCCTTTTTCTTTCTCTCCAGTTGCTGTATTTTTTTGAGATTTCTTGCTTCTTGTATCGCCCAGGCTTATTACATCAACTAATCTCTGTTGTGCTTGGTTTGGGCTTTTTTCTAAGGTTTTGATCCTTATCTTGGAGTGGAAACATGTTGTTCTCTTGTTAGTCATTTTCCAGGACTGTTATAGGAGCTCGTTTTGGGGTGGAATAAATCAGTTTCCAGGAAGATTTTGATTCTTCTCTTGGATCAGCTACTGTTACAGTTTTCTCTCCTGGACAAGTGAGCAACTAAGTCTGGACATCCTTTGTTCCTTCAGCCTTTCAGATCTTCTTAGTTGCTCAGCTCTCTAATTAGTCTTATTGATCAAGTTTTTTTTTTTTTTTTTGATGAATGTCTTATTGATCAAGTTTGGCACCTTCTATATTCTCCTTTTTGGCTTTCTCAATGTGTTTTTGTTTCAGCCTGCAAGGTGTTTGATAAAAGTTCTCCTAGACTGTTGATTGGCTGCTTCCAGTAATCTGTTAATCACCTTATTGGATTGATTTTTACTGCTGTTATTCTACTGTTGCTGCCTGTTTCAATGGTTGCGGAAAGAGATGATATTCTACAAATTAAGTTTAATGGATCTAACAATGCCTTGTGGAAGTTCCATTTCCAATTTCGTATTGAAGCCAAGGGATTTTGGGGCTATTTGGATGGTGCTCTACTATTAAGCCTGACGATACTAAAACAAAGGCCTCAAAACAGTGGAAAATCGACAATGCAAAACTTGCTTCTTGGATCCTTGGTTCGGTCAAAGTAGACATTGATACTCCGATGCATGGATACAGGAGTGCTTATGATATGTATCAATACCTGGAAAAAGTATATCAACAGTCTAATATCTCTAGGCAATATCAAATTGAAGTTGATATATTTTCTTATCATCAAGGAGAGAGGAAGATTCAAGAGTATTATGCTGGATTCATCAATTTATGRACTGACTATGAACTAGTGCAATGGGAGAAGATTCTTCTGCTTGTTGTGTCAAGTTCATGAAAACACATTTTGATAGAAGACAGGTTATGCATTTTCCAATGCATCTTAGGCCTAAATATGAAATTGTTAGGTCTAATATTCTGACTAGAGAAACACTACCAGACCTAGATACTATTCTTGGGGAGCTTCTAAGAGAACAAACTAGATTAACTACTCAAACTGCACTGAATGGAAAGAGGGACTCTAATTTGGATACTGTTTTTCTTGCCACGAAACCCAAAAAACTTCTATCAGGTACAGTTTATGAATGCAAACGATTTAGACATGTAGCTTCACACAGTAAAAAGAAGAATACTTGTACCTATTGTAGGCAACAGGGGAATATTATCTCAGAATGAACTATTCAGCCTCCAAAGGGAAGTGGGCCTAGTCAGAAGAAAGCTCCACATAAAGCATATCAAACCTTAATAGAGGTTCAAATGGCTCATCCTTATCCACTTCCTTGATGCCAAAAGGGAATATTACTACGGGTGTCATGAAAGAAGAAACGATCCATCAGCTGATGTCCTAGGCCATCTCTTCTGTCTGTTTCCTTTTGCCCATCTCTTAATCATCTGTGGTTCATCAATTTTCTTTTTTTTTTTTGATAACTTAAATTTTATTAAGAACTTAAGGTAACAGCTTTACAAGCACCCCTTAGAGAGGCACGAGATGCTACCTTTAAATCAACAAAGCAAATTACATTTGTGCCCAGAACAAAATTGACCTATTCACCCCTTGCTTAGCCAAAACATCCACCATCCCATTTGCTGATCTCCTCAGCCATTGTATCCTCAAATTCATATTCCTGATAAGCCACTTAAAATTTTTCATTTCACTTCCATAGCACCAAATTATGGATTCTGGATTCTTTAAGCACTACACCACCACTTTTCAATCCCCTTTGATCACCGCATTTGCCAAGTTTAGCTCATTAGCAATCTGCACCCTTGTATTGTAGAAAGCAGTTCCGCTTTGAGGGAATCATCCATGCCAGCAGTGCCAGAAAAGAGTGCTATAAGTTTACATTCTCCATCTCTCAAAACCCCTCCTATTCCAAAAGGGTCTGGATTACCTTGACTACTCCCATCAAAGTTCAGTTTAACAAAACCTTCAATTGGAGGTAACCAAATAGACTCCACTCTGCCCTTTCTATATGAGCTTTTAGCAACTACTTCCCAATTCCTCCAAATATCATCAAAGGAAAACTGGGAGAATAACTCCAAGGTCTTTATCCAATGGATCACCCTGACCATCACACAAGTCTTGATTTCTTCCTTACTACTCTCCTTGTCTAAGAATATTCTTGCATTCCTCTCTTCCCAGATGGTCTAAATCAAGGTCTGCCTGACACATCTCCACATAATCCTTCCCCTCTTCTACTACCCCTTGTTTTGAAACTTCTAGCTGTAATAATGCTTGGCATTTATGACAAGACATTTGGACATCCTTATTCAAAGAAATTGAACTTTTTGTTTACTTCTAGTAGCTTGACATCTTCAATTACTTTGCTTGAAGATACTAATAAAGATTGCATCACTTGTTCTTTCTACAAAAGCCACGTTTCACCCTATCCCTCTTCTACTGAGCATGCTTTTGTGCCTTTTTAGCTTATACATAATGATGCTGTCGTCTCCAGTATTTTCTAGGATGGGTTACAAGTATTTTGTGACATTTATTGATGATTGAACTCGCTTCACCTGGATTTACTTTCTTCGCAAGAAGTCAGAAGACTTTTTATCTTTTAAACTTTTTCAGGCTCGGTTTGCCACTCAATTCAAAACTACTATTTGCATCCAACATTCTGTTTCAAGGGGAGAGTACTTTGACAAAGACTTCCAAAATTACTTGAAACAACAAGGCAACCAATCTCAAAAATCTTGTCCTATCACTCCGAAACAAAATGGAATGGCACAAAGAAAGAATAGGCAGATTTTGAGTGTTGTGAGGACTCTTCTACAAGATTCACATGTACCTACATGGTTTTAGGTGGAGGTGGCTAGCATTATCATGTATCTTGTAGATCTT